GATTGGGTGGTGATTCAACTTCATTTGTTTTTTTGGTTATTTTGTTTTATATATTTCATTTGGTGTTTTCCCTTTGTCATTTGATGTTAATACACATGTATGTTGTTTTCATATATGTAGGATCTACTTATTATTCAATTCTATTTGAGTATGTTAAATAAGACCAATGACGTATTAGATATAAAAAATAATGCGTTGAAGCATTACAATAAATAAAACTTTTGAAGTGACCTGATGTGTATTTGTTTCATTTTGGTATTACCCTATGCCTTTTCCCGCTTTACTTTGCATCATTATATACTTTTTCATAAACACACGAGATTTCGGGCGGTGGCTAAACGACCATGCCACTTCTATACCAATAAATCATTGTTTTACTACGTATGTCATCAACATAAATGATTATGTCACCTGTCAATGTGTCAATATGATCTGTCTTGAACCCCGATATGAGGAGATAATAAATCATTTTTTTTATTTTGGTTAGATAACAAAAAGTTCACGTGGACTTCTACCATATAACAAGTCATCATATACCAGTTCATACGGTATCCCGTTAGGGCCATCGCGACATTCACGTAACTGACAGTAACAAAAGTTATTTTAAGAACTCCAGGACATATTTTGAATTATCACAAGAACTCCGTGACATTTGAAAAATCGGTTATAAATTTAAAAGCCTGGGTTTTATGTTTGCAACTCTGCATTATATTTATGTAATTAAGTATAGCATCGAAGATAATCACAAATGGAAAGGCCAATATGTACGAATGAGCAAGTAATTTGGAAGTTTTACACAAAACTACCAGTTTTTTTAAAAAGGCGATGAAAAATGGACTAAAAGGCTTTTCTGAAACATAATGCAATAATTATGTAGGGCATGCTTAATTATCAAAGTTTAATTGAGTACATCAAACTCCCCATTTAAAGGTAAAAATGACCATTTTTCACGCGAGTTCTCCAAGTATATAGAAAAGTTTTCCACAGAAATCCGTAACGTTTTCCAGGAACTCCGTGACAGTTATCATAAGAACTCCAAACAAGTTATCATAAGAACTCCATCCTTCGTGCAACAGTTCCTCCCCCGTGGTTCCAGCAGTGTCATATTTTCACTATTGATTTTGATCTAAGCTCATAAAAAGTTTAAACAAATTTTTTTTTGTACAGTTTTCAATCCTTTTGCGTGTCTATAAAGAGCTCTTTCGATGAATCTTTCGCATTAACATCTTTTCTGTCAGTCAAAAACATTCCGAATGATAGGTAAAAAGTTCAATTGCGGAAAAAGGTGATCATCTGAGTTTTGCTAAAATACTGAGTACTGACTTATTTTTGATCTGCGACATTGAAATATTTGAGGTGGAGTTCAAGATGGCGGTCGATTCTTTGTTTCGGGCTTAAGAGATAAAAGTTTCATTAATTCTACGACTTGTAATACTAAAAATTGTGTTTATATAACTAAGTACTCTATACATAAATTGTGGATGTATTCCTAAAATTAAAAGATGCTGCGAAAAATCTCCCGTTATGTCAGTCATTTACTTTTGGGGCCATAACTTTTTGGGCCATATTGAGCCCCATTTTAAATATGATTAAATAAAATGCAGTTAATATTTTTTCCAAAGAACTATAAATGTACTCTATTGAAATGTTCTGGTAAAATATTAAGTTTCTCGATCGGACTATAAATAGTGATTTTTACAAATACATTATTAAGCTTATCAATAAACTTAAGTTTTTTGTAAGCTCCGTAACAACTGTTCGCCAGAGGCTTTTTTAATGGAAATCTTAAATACTTCTTTAGAAAGAGCAAACATGAATTTTAAAATGTTAAAATAATGATATCAGAGAAATGTAAGATGCTTGTTACCTGAATAAAGTAGCGATAAATGTGAAATTATTTGTCATAAAAGTAGTCAAAACAATGTAGTATTTTACTTCCATATAAAATACTAATTCACTATAACTGTACTCATCATTGCCAAAGAGATGGTTCAGGTATTTGGCCAATGAGTATTTTTTGGATACTATAGAAGATCATCAAAATTAAAAAGGCTTTAAGAAAAAAACACAAAAGAACAAATAAAAGCACAATGTACCTTTAAACGTTATCTTTATGTTCTCGGGGGGGATCGACACCCCACCATACCCTCTAGACCCCCAGTAAGAACTTTACATTATTATGACACTCCGTTTTAAGGTTGTCTACTTAAATAGTTTATGATATTTTTCAGTACTGCCTTTACGACTACTAATTAAGGCCTCATCTACACCTAGTCAAGTTTCTTATATGTCACATTTAGATAAGCTAAATAAATGGCCCTTTCAACATATTATCAGGCACATTTTTTTTACTGAAATGTCCTTTTAAGATTTCCAAGAATTTATACTTTTGTCTATGCTAAGACTATCATATTTTTAAAAAAATTCTTAAATTAAATAAAAAACGGGAAAATGATGCAATTAGCTAAAAATGGAGTTAATGAAAGGTGTACATTCTTTTAAAATAAATGGAAAATTTGAGAAAAATATATTTTGAGCTTATTGATTGATACAAATTCTTTATTTGATGAAAGTTCTTCACTTACTGATCAAGATCATTTAAATCCCTATTGATTCTACTTTAATTCATGGCTCATGTTTGTGTTTATTTAATACCTTTAGATAGATAGATAGATAGATAGATACTTATTCAGGTTAAAACACACATACATGTATACATAAAACAACACTTTAGCATTTTATATAAAACTGATGACACAATTGTAATAAAATATTTCCTTGATTTACCTTGATTTACCTATTTACCTTGATTTTTGTTTACCGTTAGCTTTGACAACAATATATTATTTAAAACATAATGAAAATTCATTTTTTATGACCCCAAAGTGCGGTCGTTTGTCTGATGTTAAAAAATGCATATGTACCTGTTTAACGCACTTTGGGGTCGAAATTGAACCCCAATTGAACCCCAAAGTGCGTCACACACTCTAGGGTCGGACCCCAAAGTGCGTTGGACCCCACGCCCTACAACGGTAGCATTTTCACTTCGACCGGGCAAATTTGGACTCAGAAAAGACAAATTTGTGACCTAATGTGACTCATCAAAGAAATTGTCAAACTATAATCTGATTGTGGCAAATAATAATACATATAGTATATTACATGTTATACCGATAAAACCGCTTACAAGTAATGCTTGTAGTTGAAAGGCAAAAAAAACAAAAAAAAACAAAAAACAAAAACAAAAGAAACCAGAAGCTTCTCGAGGTGATAGATCCATCTCAAGCTGATGTCGTAGCTCGAATCCACGACATCTGGGCTGCTAAATGAAAAACAGTACACAAGGGACTCTTTGGCATTATTATGGTCGTCAATTTATAATACAGACTAAGATGACTTCTATTTCAACCATTGCTTTTTGTACATCACAGCTACATGTAATCCTTTTCTATCGTTTCCAGATCACTTACATAACGTTAATATTGATAAAATACCAATTGTTTTACATGAATTAAGATATTGTAACATTTAACGTTAGTGTTATGACATCTAACGGTAAGGGAAAAAGGTGCGACATTTAACGTCATCAGTGCGACATTTAACGGAAACATATTTTGAGACATTTAGCGGCGGTGGCAACATTAAGCGACAACAGCGGGAAAAAATGAGACATTGAGCGGTTTGTTCGACATTTAGCACCCTTGCAACATATACCCGGCGTCACAGGGACCAACAATTGGGAGGAATGCAGAACGCACATAATATCCGGTGTCTCAATATCTCGGACACACTGATTGCACTAAATGGGACGCCCTAAAGAAACGGGACAAATACCCCCTAGATGACAAATACAACAACGGCAACAACAACGACAGCAACACCGACAAAAACAACAACAACGACGACGATGGCAACAACAACAACTACGAGAACAACAACGACGACGACAACAACAAAGACGGAAGCAACAACAACAACAACGACGACGACAACAACAACTAATACCACGACGACGACAACAACTACGACAACAACAACAACTAATACGTCGACGACGACAAAATCAACTTCTACGACGACGACGACGACAACAACGAAAACGACGACAATAACAACAACAACAACGACAAAACAACAACAACTACGTATACAATATTGACGACAACAGCAATGACGGCGACGACAACAATTACGACAAAAATAACATTTTTTCTTCTTTTTATTGCAGCAATAATATTCACTATATACAATATATACATATGGCAGATTAACTCTAAGGCTGCTGGCAGAAAAGAGTCAACCCATGTGATCGGGCAGACCAAGACCAGCCGGAACATCCGTGTTGTCTGCTTATTATCTACACTATTTACTTTTCAGTCAACACATATTTTGAATTCCCTCCCCACTAAAAATGAAGAATGAACTGATTGAAAGTTGAACAAGGTCATTTAAAATATTTAGCGAGAAAGGGTTAATTCTAGATTAAAATAAAAGAATAATGCTGACAGGACAGCAGGATGTCACATGCATAAGATATTAAATTAACAAAATAAACAAATGCGGAACCAGTTTTTTTGTTTGTAATTAAAACAAACTTTAACGAATTTATTACAATCTGTCTAGAATTAAAACATGCAATGTTTATTTCTTATAATAACCTGCCCTTAAATAATAGTAAAACCATGGACAAATGTCTTGTTAAACAAACTAACATACGACGCCAAAATGTTTGCATCAAAGTTTACAAAACAAATGCTTTGTAAAACTTTAACACCGACAGTTTATAATGTTCTAATGACAAGTGTTGTTAACGTTAAAACTAGCTCCAGAATTGTTTTCATTTTTTTCAGGTTTTTCTTGTTTATCATGACCTTTGATGGGTGTTTTATCCCATCACCTAAACCAAACACGTCCTTCGTACAGTAAACGATGGTTGTAAGCCTTGTTCGAGGATGGTTTAACGTGTAAAAGACATCTGTAAAGTTTTTTGATGTTGTTAATAAAAGCGTTTGAAACATTATTGTCCAACATATACATGCTTTTATTATACCACCACTTCCCTTGGTATATAAATATAAAATTTCTAGCTCGTTCAAGTTATTTTGTTCTTTATTCCGTTTGGAATTATCACTCAGGGTAAGATATTAACGATTAAATTTATTCAATATCTTTTGTAAAGATTTTTTTCTTCTGTAATATTCAGGAATTTCAATCAAAATTTGATAATGAGTGGACAATAATTAGTCATGTATTTATAGTAAAAATTTGAATTTTCTGATTATTATATGCATGTTTCTCTTTTTTTGACAATTTGACAGACTTAACCTTAAATTTTGTGTATTGGCTGAATTTAGAAGAAAGTTGTCCGGCAATAAATCAGTGAAAATTAGGAAAATATGTTTCACTGCAGTGGAAAATAAATTTTTAAAGTGAAAATACGGAAAATGAAAATACCCTTTTTATTTCATTCATATTTCTTAATATTTCATTTAAAAGTATATAACAAATAATAATATTATATGCTTTTAAATATATGAATACAAACTGAATAATGTCTGATAATGTGTCCGTTAAAAGGCACAGATAGTTTCTGAAATGTATGATGATTTCTTTTTGCAGTAAGAGCAAACATATGTTTTTAATGTTGTAATAATGGATTTAGAGGATGTGAGATTAAAAATTTGAAACATGTGAAAAAAATGTTTGAATTTTTAAGGCTTAAATGACCTCTAAGTAGAAAATTGAATAACGATGACAATAAAATTGTATTTCAGGAAAGTTTTATTTTCAAAACTAAGTGAAATAGTTACAGAAGTTATTTAGCATTTGGTATAGTTTGATAATATCACACAAAACAAAACGATTAATACTTCAGTATGTTTTACCATATACACTTAAAAAACATTTTATATGACTTTTGACGGGTTGTTTGACTTATATTTAAGATTGTTTTTGACTTGAAATGTTTGGACAGCTTAAACGACTGTTTATACATGGCCATATGGAAAAATCCCGTCAAAAATATAAGTAATCGCCAGGCCAATATAAATAATAATAATAATAATAATAATAATAATAATAATAATAATAATAATAATAATAATAATGATAATAATAATAATAATAAAATAATAATAATAATATTAAAAATAATAATAATAATAATAATAATCAGTCAACCCATTCTGGAGATCCGGCTTTATACATTTTTTTTCACAAAGCCTTTCCAACAAAGCAGGAAACCCCATAACTCAAAAACAGCGGGTGATCGATTAAAACAAATATTAGTAAACAACTTGATACAGAAAGTGTCGTTCCACAGTGACCGCGTTATTTTAATGCCCAATGTTTTAATATGAGTTGTTCCATCACTCACTTATATGTTATAAATTAAATTGACAACAATGCCTTCAAGGAAAATTGCATAAATGGTTTCATTAAGCTCGCTCGTAAATTGTAATGGTAAAATGCAAAACGTTAAGCTGATGCGATGTTGTTTTTAATCTTAAGCTTTTAAGATTTTCAAATTAATAAACGCCAACAATCTGAGGAACTCAGACCGCCATGATACCTGGTTAATTAAGCATAAAAAACAAAGCAAACTATCTTTTTTTGATTCGAAGCTATCTTTATGAACTCTTTCGATCAAACATTGGCTTAGATTTAAACCAACTTACAATAATTCATTGAGAATAACAATTTATCATTTACGAAGGAATGGTTCTTAAGTCTCAGTCTTTAGAAAAATTTTTTTTCCCACTCCCAATTAAGGAAATTTTTCTTTCCCAAAATTTGGCCTTTTTTTTTAAAACAAGAAAATTCCCTCTTTCCCAAAAAAAACCCAGAGAAGAAAAGAACTTTTAAGGGAAAACTATCGATGGACGTCGAAGATTTGGAAAAGACCAACAGAATTCTTAAACTTTGTCTCAATGAATTAAAAATTGAACTTATCAGTTCACTAGCTTTTCAAGAGATTTTCTTTTATCTGATATCTTACAAAACATATACAGCCGTCAAGTTTTGTTTTCTAGGCTTTCAACAAATCGAATAACAATGACAACTCTGATGGAGCAAGTGTTGGTCCTGGTTGTGGCTTTGATGACTATATTCTTCCTGTCGGTATCGGCACAGTCAGCAGATGATGTATACAGATGGAGCGCCGATGATTATAGTATGTATTTTGGTTTTTAGAAAAAATAGCAAAACCATTTTAACACTTGAACTGCTGGATCAGAAAATGATAAGCCTTTGCCAAACGTATAGAGCCAGCCCGTCCTACAATTTCGTGCAGACTGGCAATCCTCCACACTGTTGGCTACACTGTTTTATACCGCTTTGTTCTGGGCCAAATTTATTCTTGTTACAAAGAATACCCTCTATTTATTAAAAAGGGTTCACCCGTTTTTCCAAGATTAACGTGATGCCCGAACTTATTGCGTTGAGTATCCTAGAATCTTTTTCTGTTGTCGTTGCCTAATAAATTCATCAAGGAAAAGTGAATAAAAACATTTACAATTTCCCAAAAAATGTAATCATATAAAAAAACGGGGGATTAAATATTAAAAATAAAAAACAATTAATGACAATTTTGGTTCGGTTAGGGCCCTTATTGAAGCCCATGGAGTTTGGAAAAAGTTTGCTTTTTTAACATTTGCATCAAACATCGTCAAAAATGTTAAATGTTTTCTTGGGTTTACTTGAACAAATTGCTTGCCACCAGTTTTTGTTGCATTGGGCGAGGAATTTTTAAAAAAACAACATTTAGCTCAGGATTTGAAATAAGTATGGCTCCGTGTTTCGAATTCAGCAAATGAAAATGTTTCAGAATAATTTGGATTAACCGCATGAATGTGAAATCTTTATCAATACTTATGTTTTCTATAAAAACAGCTCATCCCTATATAATATTATTTAAAGATAAGATTGCAGTATACTGAATTTAGGCAATGTTTTAAATAATGAATTGGACTCTATCAAATACAAGTGAAAAGATTAAAATGAGAGGTGGGGGAGGGATTGGTACGTTCATGTAACATATCTTCTCAAACGGTATTGCTAGACAAACAGGATCAGCGGAAAACTAACCAGAATGGCATTGGATAGAAACGTGACGGAAATGAGAAAGAGCAGATACGAGAGATGCTATTTAACCAATCACAGAAATATGATGAGACAAAATAAAGTTTCCTTTTAAAAGGAAAGGCTTGCACAGTTGTGCCTTCATAAAGTGTTTATTTAGTTGTTTTTTTTTTCTTGTAAAAACGAATATTTTTTGTCAAAACAATTTGAAATCTATTCTCTATTGTATAAAACTTGTAAAGAAAATAATTAATCATAAAAATACTAACTATTCTATCATACTGAAAAGGAAACAAGTGTGAACATTTCATTTCCAGAGAAATCATTCGTTTTGGCAGTTGCTAATTTCATTTATATAGCATCTTTATGGACAAGTAAATGCACTAAAATACTTCGTTACGTGGTACCAATTAATAAGCATGTATCAACTATGTTACACAACCACAGATACGGTAAGGTTAATGATATGCATGGGCTATTTTTAGATTACATCACTGCGTTCATTAGATCTAAATATAACTCGATCATGCACTAATATTCTCTGTGATTTGGTAAGCAAGACCACCCTTTGGAGACGTAACCATCCTCTATTGTATAAGGTATATATGTTAATTAATATACAAAAATAATACAGACAAAAACAATTATAAAAGAAACTAACTTTTGCGTCTTGAAAAAGAATTGAAACGTAACAATTTCGTTTATAATTTATTACGGTTTAAACCGATAAATCAAGTAAAAATAGAAATCCTATTTATATAAACAAACTGGGATTACTGAAGTAACTAAAATAGCTTAGATTTCCGTAATATTACTTCGTCTGATTCCGCAGTATGACGGAATCGCCCGAATTGTCACGATTGCAATCGGAACTACATCGGCTATAATCATTAAACCGAAGAGTGACGGAAAGGGCCAAAAAGTTTTTTTTTTTCTCTTTTATTTTTCAATCAAAATATACAAACATTCAAATCATAGTACATGTAATGAATACATAAAAAATAATGTCAATTCAATGTTATCAGATTATGACAAGTATATTTGTATGTTAAGATCTTTTTATAAAAGATTTTGACAGAAGAAAATGAGTGCTAAGAAAAACTGATAGTACTATAAAGTGCATAGTAAGTAAGAAAGAGAGAAAAGAAAGTGTATAAAGAAAGGAAAGCTAGATGAAGAATGAAAAGAAAAAAGAAGAGAGAGAAAAGATAAAGATTAGTTATGTCCCTATTAAAAAGATAGTTGGAAAAAAATACATTCATAATGATATTTTACAAAGCTAATACCTAGTAAAAAAATAGATTTAAAAAAAAAATAAATTAATTAATGGAGAAAATATAAGGAATGGACTAAACGGAGATAAGAATTGAAGATCGTGTGTTGTTTTGGGGTCTGTAAAAGTTAAGTTTCATTGAAATTTGACCATTTTTCTTCAAAATTTTGTAGATTGTCTTGTATTAATGATATTTCTTTTTCAATTCTAATCCTGTAAGAGAGAAATGGCATAAATTTTTCAAAAGTGGGTATATTTTTGCTATATTTCATTTTAAATATGAAATATTTACACAGAATTATGATAAAATTTACCGTGTTATGTTTACCTAATATACCGAAACACACCTGTCTTAAGTTAAGAGGTATTTCATAACCTTTAGAGAATAAAAATGTTTGAATTTTGTTCCAGAAAACTTGTGTTAACTGACATTCCCATATTAAATGTTCAATAGATTCTATCTCCATTGAACAAAAATCACACAAATTGCTAGATGATAATTTGCATTTAAAAAGATATTTATTTGTTGGGACTAAACGCATTAAAAATTTGTATTGAAAACTACGAAGATTGGTGTCGATTGTAGACTTAAAAGCTATATTAAATATTGGTTTCCAATCTATTTCATTGTCATTAAATATGTTTTCCATTTTATGGATGCAGTTGGTTTTTCAACAGTTATTGCATTCAATTGAAATTTATACAACAGCTGATTTGGTGACTTTGTTTTTTTTAGTTTTTCTATTAGAACATCTTCTTTATTCCTATAGAGAAAATGCATTGAAATATTTTCTTTAAGGCACTTTGGGATAGCTGAGATTAATTGATGATATTTTAAATAATCTTGTGTATCAAGATTTAGAAGTTGTTTTGCTATTTCAAATTTGTAAAAGGCTTTTGTGCGAAAATCAAAGAGTTGGTCTATATAATTTATACCTTTTTCATGCCATTTTTTCCAGTAAATTGTATTTTGTTGTAATTTTATCTCAGTATTGTTCCATATAATATGTTTTCTAATTTCATTTCCATTTATATTAGAGGAGTTAACTATAGAAAACCATGAAATTAAGATATCTCTTAGAAATGTATTTGTTTTACAGATTCTTGAAACATCATGAGAACTAAGATTACATTCAAAAATAAATTTACCACCAAATGGTTTTAATATATTCTCAAAGAAGGCTTCCCAGTGTCCGTTGCTTTCATTTGAAATCAATCTCTTTACCCAGCAAGCTTTAATTGAAGTTAAAAATGATTTTATATCTGTTAATTTTAATCCTCCTGCATCATAGTTGTTTATAATAGTTTTACGCTTAATTTTATCTGTTTTACCATCCCATAAGAAGTTAAAAATTGCTGTTGTTAATTCTTTAATAGTATGGTCAGGTGGATTTTCAAGAACTGTAAATGGATAAATTAGTTTTGGTAATGCAAATGTTTTAGTTACTGTGACTTTGCCCATCAATGTAAGTTTACGGTGTTGCCACTGTTTTAAGCATGTTTTAAATTCTTGTAGTTTTAGTTCTAAGTTAAGCATATTCATTTTGGAGTCTGTGTAGAAAGTTATGCCAAGTGTTTTCGCATGTTTTGATGTCCAAGTGAAATTCATATTTTCTGCATATTTTAAATTTATTGTTTTGAGGGCTCTAACCTTCAATACAACTGATTTTGATGTATTTAGTTTGAGACCAGATATATTTCCAAATTCATTAATGACTTTAATGAGTTTTTCAAAAAAATGTTTTTGTCCGTTATTTATATATGTTGCATCATCAGCAAATAATGTCTGTTTTATTTCTTTATTATTTATTAGAAATCCCTGAATATCATTATCTTTTGCAATCCTGTTTGTTAAAAGTTGAATACATATGATGAATATGGAAGAAGAAAGGGGACATCCTTGTCTTACTCCCTGTTGAATATGAAAACTTTCTGACATGTGACCATTATTTATAATTACACTATTAATTTTGTTATAGAAGAGTTTAACCCATGAAATAAGAGATTCACCAAACTGAAAATAGTGAAGACATTGAACAATAAAATCATGATTTAAGCTATCAAATGCTTTTTTGATAATCAGAGAAGAAAAGAAGACCAGACTTGTTATTTTTTTCAATATGTTCTATTATTTCAAATATTAGTCGTACATTTTCTCCTATATAGCGTCCTTTCATAAAACCTGTTTGCTCATTACTAATTATTTTATCTAATACTTTCTTTATTCGAATAGTAATTGCTTTTGTAGCAATTTTATAGTCTATATTTAAAGACTTATAGGTCTCCAATTTGAAAGTGAAGTTTGGTCTTTACCTTCCTTAGGTATTAAGGTTATTATACTTTGTTTTTGAATTTCTGATAGTTCACCTTTTCTGTAGGCATAATTAATACAGTTCACAAAATATGTTTTTATTTTATTCCAAAATATCTTATAAAATTCTGTAGTAAGACCATCAGAGCCAGGTGATTCGTTATTTTTCATTTCAAAAAGAGCAGTTTTACATTCATTTTCACTTAAAAAAACCTTCACTCATTTCTTGTTCTTCATTTGATAATTTATTTATATCATCATCAAAAAAGGAATATCTGTTTCATTCTGTGGAACTTTAGTGTACAATAATTTATAATATTTCACTTCTTCTTGTAAAATCTGTTCAATATCAAAAATTTCTTTACCATTTATAACTAGTTTCTTAATACTTTTTTTCTCAGCATGTCTCTTTTCTAAATTAGCAAAATATTTTGAGTTCTTTTCATTTCCTTCAACATGGATAGCTTTTGATCTTATTAATGAACCATTTATTTTCTTTTCATATAAATTTTCTAATTCATTTTGTTTTATGGATATTCTTTCTAGTAGATCTTGTTCGTCCTTATTATCGGTATTATAATTTTTATTATTACTAATTTTATCCAATGTTTGATGTGCCCTATTTAGATCAGCTAATTCTTTAATTAAAGTGTTTTCTAATTGGTTCTCATTTTTTCTTTTATGTGTAGAATATTTTATTGCAGTATTTCTTATTGTTCCTTTGATAAGTTCCCACAGAATATCTGGTGATGCTTCTGAATTTATCATTACTGCCTCATTTATATTTTCATTTAACATCAATTTAAAATCATTGTCTAAGAGAATACTGTTATTAAGTTTAAAATATCCTGGTCCCCTATTACAATTTTCAAGTTTAATATTTAAGGTAACGCACGAGTGGTCAGTTTTAAAGCCTGGTTTGATATTACATTGAGATATTAAATTAGTGAAATACTCAGACACAATAAAATAATCAAGTCTGCAGTATATTTTTGGTGTGGTATTTGACCGCCATGTATATTGATGTGAGTTTTCATTTAGTTTTCTCCATATATCAATAAGGTTACATTCTTTCATAATATCTTTAAGTTTTTTTCTTGATTTATGGTGCGAACCAAAAAGACCATTTCTTTTATCCTTTGTAGGATCAAGAACTCTATTAAAATCGCCCCCAATTATGAAATTTTTATCATTATTTTCAAGAATATAGTTTTCAAGAAGTTTGAAAAAAGCTTCATCATCTTTATTCGGTCCATATATGTTTATAATTGTTATATCCTGATCTTTATAGTTAAGTTCTAATGCTACAAGACGTCCTTTTACAATTTCTTTAAAGGGCCAAAAAGTTGCGATTGGCACGATTGCAGTTGGTTTCTCGTTCAATCATGCACTAACAAATGTAAGCAGGAAACCACCTAACCGGAACAAGTTTTCCAAAACAAATGGGCTTGCAGCCGTGGCTGCAAGCCAACAAACCCTACTCCTGATAATTGAGCCGTGTCACGACAAAACCAACATAATGGGTTTGCGACCAGCATGGATCCAGACCAACCTGCGCATCCGCGCAGTCTGATCAGGATCCATGCTGTTCGCTAACAAACCCTATAACAAGTAGAGAAACTGATAGAGAACAGCATGGATCCTGATCAGACTGCGCGGATGCGCAGGCTGGTCTGGATCCATGCTGGTCGCAAACCCATTATGTTGGTTTTGTCATGGCGCGGCTCATATGTCTTATAAAGAGAGTTAGTCAAATTATTAATTTGTCAAATGCCGTGCTCCTTTTCAGACGTTATTGTTACTAAAAATATTATTGCTTTTCATTTCAGACCAAAACCAAAATAACAACTGGCAATGGGGCAACTGATATTTCTGTCGAGGATGAGAAAGAATTGCATATTACAACAAAAAAAAATCTACACCAATATAACATTATTAAACTATTCATCGATATTTTGTGTATCATATTATATATTATGACAAAATTATTCATTTTTTTATTTTAAATGACAAAAAGCCAAAAGATATTTCAGATGGTAGTGGTTCAATTAAACGTGGCATTATGTGAGTTGTTTTAAGTAAAGCATAAAGATTTGAAAGATTTCGTAAAAACAACAAACAGTTGCAAATACTCATACCGTACACAGTAACATATACAAAATGTTCTTTTTTGAACTATTTTTACAATCATGCAATTGTTTGTTCATATTTCATGAAGATTCATTGACAGAAAAAAAAAATGAATTAATTTTGGAAACTGTATAAAATTCCCTTCATACTGAAATTTTGATTCGTGTTTCGACCTCACAGACAATACTGGCACATGGTATTTGAAATTTATTAATAAATTAATAAACAGTTAAATTTTGATTAAATGCTTTCGTGTTTTTTATGTTGTTGTTGTTGACATGTTTCCATTCCGGTTTAAATAAAATAATAGTAGAACATTGAAAATATTGATGGTCATTCAATAGGGCATTGTATGATTGGTCCTGTTCATCGATAACAGTTGAGCCGCGTCACGACAAACCCAACGTTATGCGTTTGCGACCAGCATGGATCCAGACCAGCATGCGCATCCGCGCAGTCTGATCAGGATCCCTGCTGTCCGCTTACAAACCCTATCACAAGAAAGGAAACTGATAGCGAACAGCATGGCTTCTAATCAGCTTGCGCGGATGCGCAGGCTGGTCTGGATCCATGCTGGTCGCAAACGCATAATGTTGGTTTTGTCGTGACGCGGCTCAGTTGTCAAGAATACAACATTTAAGTTTACATGGTAATAATAGATATTTTTGTGCAGTTGTGTGCGTACAGAAATTATCATGTAAGCTCCAATATCAAATTTTCATTCATTCCATGAAAAGCGTCGACGATACAAGTAAAACATACTTTGAAAAGAATGGTCCGGATAAATAAAATAGAGAGAGAACAAAAGATTATGAAAATCTGGAAAAGGGGTCATCCCTCGGATGCAATGAAACAACAATATGAAATAATTACAAATATGAAAACTGCAAATTTCGGTTTGATCGAGCCTGTTTAAAAGTGCAACATTTTCAACCCCACCCCGCTGAACACCAATGGTATTTAATCTTCAATTCTAACGAGTTGGAATCATTTATGATGAATTGAAGGGAATTATAGGGCATCTTTTTACAGCTGCAGCATGGCAGTTGACACCTGTTGTTGAGAAGTATAATGAACTGAAAAATAAATGATCTCTCGGAAGCAAAGCAACTGCAAATAAATTGTAGATTCATTTTGATTGAATCTGTTTATGATAGATAATGTAAAAGTGCCACATCACTCGCGCCCCTAGCACCTTAAATATCACACCGACTATTAAAAACAGACAACATATCCTAAGTGTGACTATACATTTCTAATATTGAAATTGAAAAAAATCTTAGTGTATAGCAAAAACTACGATAATGTAGAGTCAAATGATCATGTTAGTTTGTTTGGTCTTTACACCAATAGTAATATATTTTGGCCGTATCTCGGCAGTCGGTCTTCCTTCCAGGCTTTTCTGTAAAACTTAACCAGTAACTTACTATTTTTCATAGGAGACCGAAAACTGATCCAATATCATTTCTGCAGCGATGAAAGACAAAAATGTATGGGATCAATTGTCATGAATAAATTTTGCCTCGCCCAAGGACATGACAAACCACACCTCTTAATTAATAATCCGATTCCCTCACTATTGATCTTAGCGGTAGAGTCAAACGTTACATATGGGAAATGCAACATCTCTGATTTAACAGGTAACTTTTAAAACCAAGCGATCCTACAATGTTACATGATAGTCTGCAAAAAATCTTCTGAGCTTACCTGCATAGTTATTAATTTGCTATATTCCAAGCTCAGGTCGTACAAAAAAGCATTAACTCATTTATTTATGGAACCAGTTGCTTTGTGAAATTTTAAATATCGGATAAAACTTTAAGTTCATGAGAGCCCCTCATTTTCAATAGTGAAAGCAATACAAAAAAGAAATATCCTAAAACACTGCTTAATTCATTAATTCATCATTTTTATGTGCAAATGTTGAATTGTGTTAAAGTCGGTGCCATGGGGCGTGGTCGGTAGCTTGCAATTTCCGTCCATTAACACTCGCAATCGTTGTGTTGAATATTATAATATGTTGACTAGTCTTATTTCAAGAAATTATTTTGATAAAGCCTATATCAGGGGATAGCCTTAACATGAAAGAAAACGTTCTTAACGGGCTTAACATCCTCAAATCCGCTTTTAATTAGATTCATCCGTTGTTGTCTCGTTGCGCACGCAAATTTTTAATTGGAGACCATATGCCGATTTTAACGGAATGGTACTAACGTGTTATATTGAAGGTTCCATGATCGCCAATGTTTTAATTCATTAATGGCACGAAATTATAATTTTATCATAAGTGTTGACGTCTCCTGGTCAGAATAGTCGGTTATTGTGAGCGTGTTTGGTTGGTAAATGTAATTGAAAGTGCAATTTATAAAGATGAAATCAATCGAATTTGTAGCAAGTGGCCAAGTGGTTAAAAAGTCTGCCTCTCAACCCAGAGATCATAGGTTCGAGCTATACTCGGGTCACGACCATGTTCTTCATTTTACACCTGTACTGGTTTGTTCCAGGAAGCGGATCCGAAAGTGATTAATATAAGTTGCAAGCACTTGTTTCGCATTGGGGCTTAAATAAATATGTTTTAATCAAACAATTTGTAATATTTTAAGTTTTTGCCATGATGGCCAATTTTAAAATTCCCAGGTGTACTGTCTTATAGAATTATAGTTTTTTTCTTCAGACAACTATTTCTTATATTAAGACATAAGTAATGTTTCTTTAATTGTTTTATGCACAAAATACGGTAAATATATACAATTAAAATTGCCAGAATATTTCCTTAACAGAATTAGTTCGAAAATCACATTAGCCAGAAATAATTCGAATGCTGGAGCTAGATCATTATATTTTGCTTCATAATAATTTTCAATTCAATATTTGTTCAAGGAGAAACGGATGAAATATATAACAAACATTCAAGATAATGCCATATCTTACATCATAAGTTAAAAAGGTTAAGAAACCGAAGCATTTAAAACTGTTTGTAAGATTAAAAGAAAAACCAACAACACTTACTTGACTAAAGCAGATAAAATGTATTGGATGCGTATATGAAGAACAAAAGCTAAATAATTTTCTGTCTATCTCTTTATTTATCAATAATACTATCTATCAAGGCCATGTCAATGCATTGAACTAAACATATTAAATTAGTAAGTACGTGAGCCCTTTTTAATATCTGATATCTACAGCTTGCGTTGTTTTCTAAACATCGATGAGTAGCATCCATGCTGCCTTATATTACTTACAAATCTCTTGGGCGTGGCATCGGTGGCATTGGGGCCGTCCTTGCTACTTGTAACATTCCGCCTATAACTGGAGATAAAGATAAAGGACATTCAACGCAACCACAGCAACCAGGATGCATTGTCATTGGTATATTGAGCACCGGAAGTATACGTCTAGGCTCCATTGGAAGTGAACAGCATTCGGCATCACACGGACACGGCTCCTCCATAGGCGGAAGTCGTTGATTTATACCATTTATTCTTCTAAGAGCAAGCGCCATTCTTGCCATATTTGATAATAGTGCTTGAACAGGAGAACCTGGTGCATTAGCAGCCATTGCTTGGGCGGCCATTTGTCCGGCTCCTGCCATTCCCTGACCTGCTCCGCCCATAGATTGTCCGGGCCCACCTCCTGACATTGGTTGCCCGGCACCTGACATCATTAGACCACCGCCTGACATTGCCTGCCCAGCACCTGGCATCATTTGACCAGCACCTGGCATTGCCTGCCCAGCACCTGGCATCATTTGACCAGCACCTGGCATTGCCTGCCCAGCACCTGGCATCATTTGACCAGCACCTGGCATTGCCTGCCCAGCACCTGGCATCATTTGACCACCACCTGACATTGCCTGCCCAGCACCTGGCATCATTTGACCACCACCTGACATTGCCTGTCCAGCACCTGGCATCATTTGACCACCACCTGACATTGCCTGTCCAGCACCTGGCATCATTTGAGCACCACCTGACATTGCCTGCCCAGCACCTGGCATCATTTGACTAGGTCCGCCCATCATCATGCTAACTCCTCCCATTGGCTGACTAGCGCCACCCATCATTTGAGCGCCACTTCCCGCCATTGGACTTGATCCTGCCATTGTCATACCAGAACCGCCCATCATTTGACTGGCACTTCCCATCATTTGAGACAGCATTTGCATTTGCCCACGTGTCATTCCTTGACTCGTACCACTACCAGCTGCTTGACCACCTGCTCCGCCGCTGGCACCGCCCCCGGACTGTCCTGGTTTCGGATTGATAAATTCAAATTCTGTAAATTACATTATACAGTCTTAAAACCTGCGCATCTTACTATTCTATCCTTATCTTAAAGAGCATGCGGCAGGCAAAGCTTATTTCAAAATTACGAAATGTTTGCTTTACTTTTAATTAAAGTATTCAAATATAATTTGTTCCTATAAACGCTGCGCAGAAGTTATATCTTTAAGGCAACATCACAGTTTGAAAGTCCAATCATTAAAATAAGTGTCATTTAACTGCCCTAACAGCAGTGAATATTTTCTTTGCAGCAACATTGTTTAACAGATAAATCATTTATCACTAGCCGTTTTTAACATGTAACGTTTGGCATTATAGGATAGTCAATGTTTAGGTGTGTCAGAAAGTACAGAGTTTACCGTAAGATAAAGATTTGACAAAAATTTGGCGTTTATAAGTACACAAAATAATAAAGAAACTAATGTAACTTTTCGTAATAAAATGAAATATTTAATAATCCTCAATTTTACTTGTTCTTTTTTACGTTTTAAAACAGTATATATCAATGCTGTGATCAGATTTAAAATGATCGCGTTATCCACTTTGAAGGCATTTTGAGAAGTTATAGTCTGTCAATCCTTTATAACAAGACGAGTTCAAAGAAAAAAGTCACATTTTTATCGCGAATCCTCATTGTTTTATGTATCAATAGGCTATTTCTCATAATATAAGACTATGGGAAATCAATAGAGAAGTCTGACCTAAAACTGGGTAATGCTCATGGTAACCGTCTATGAGAATCTTATTTACAAGTTTTTGAACCATTATAACATTATTCTTTAATGGATGTATGAGTATTTGTGATATTTTCTGATATAATAGATATTGATATGTGACGTCAGACCGGCATATTAAAAGTGCATGTTTGGAGAATCATAAAATTTCGTATTAAAATCTTGCTAGAAACCGATATTTTAATATGAGTCCTTATGTTTAGTATATATAAGTTTTGTTTATAGGTAAATTGTTTTGTTGTTTATTGTAAGCTGACAACAAAATATAAAAAGAGTAATTACCAAATTCAACCAAAGCTCCAGGCGGAACCCGAACGTTCTGTATTTGAGAGTTCACAGTCGGCATGGCAACCGCAAGAGCAAAAAGAAAGACTGTCAGTTCCATGGCCTTAAAGTAAAGAAAAGAAACATAATTAGAATGGCATCTTTCCCTATTTCCGTTTTCTGTACAGGAGTAAACAACATGTTCAATATTATACATAATATGAGAGGTATATTCACAACACACTTTCAATCCATCAAAGTTGCAAATGTGATTCATTTTTAAGCAATAAAAAATCTGGAAAAAGGGTGATCCTTAGGAAGCATTATTCACTACAAAATAACATAAAAATTGCAGACTAGGTTTGGCTGAGTCTGTACATGAGGGGTAATGAAAAAGCGCAATATCACTCATGCCCCCTAGCACCGGCTTGAGAGGTACTCAATTTTCAAAGTTGGGAAAGAATGTTGTGCCATGTGATAAATATGTTTCCAAAACATTTCTGCTAGATGTTTGTTTCTCAGATAATATTGTAATTAAACTTGTCTTATTGTTTATTGTATAAAAAAAATATACTGTGAAAATTATGAAGTTTTTATATAAAATCAATGTAACAAATTAACAATCACAAATTACACAAATTAACAATACAATACAAGTAATGTATTATATTGATACATAAGTATATAAAAATATATATATCATTTCAAAAAAAAGTTAAAATACGTAATTGTATGTCCACAAATAAAATATCATCACAATTCTTTTTCAAAGATTTCAATTCATTCGCTGAAACAACTCTCGAACCAATTTTTTACTCATTTTCTTTACTTTTTTTAAACGATTAAACTGTTTTATTTGTTATAATTCATTGAAAAAGTTATCCATTTTTCATTCTTTATTTAATAATATATTCATCTCCATTTGATTTAACTGCTATTTTACTAAATAATTATTTCTGTATTATGCGCATCGGTTTAATTCTATTCTACATAATTATATCGTTGATTAAAGATTTTCCAGAGTAAGCCCAATTGTTCGTTTATATTTTTTCATGAAAATTAATCAATAGAAAAAGTTACTTTTAAAGAAAAATTTTCCGTTTTCTCTTTGGATCTAAATGTTCTTAAGATGTAAAAATATCTACAATTAAAACAAAACATTTCTGAAATGAGTTTTGGTATAAAAATAGTTTGTTTAAAAACACCTTTTCAGATTCTTTTAACTTTGAGCAGATTCAAAAGCATTTATTTTTATTGAAAGTAAAGCATAAACATTTATTTTTATGACTTACCTGGCCTTTGATAATATGTCCAGTCCCTGCTACCAAAAAGACTCGATGTGCGAAAATTCGGATAGATATATCAAATGAAAATACTTGTTTTCGGTTTTGTCTAGCAAATATTAGTCTTTTTGAGGCTGTTAACGAACTTCCGTTATATGTTAACAAATTTGGTAACTAAAATACCGCGAGAAAAACGTGATGTTATATTATACAAGGCGTCGTGTTAACAACCAGTTACATAAAGTCCTACGAGGAAAAAACCTCAATGTTTGTTCAATATGCATTCTTTCGTTAGTAATTTCGTTTTGACATGATTAAACTTATGTCCAACATGCTTTATTTGCAATTACTAGCACGAAAATTTGAAAACAATTACCAAAATCATTTGCAGATATAATGTTAATAAATACAAATGAGTAATATCTCGAAGAAACAAATAACTTCATAAAATTAAAACAACATAAAACTTAGATGACATATGTTTAACATGCCTTTTTAAACTGCTGTTGTTTCTTTCTTAATTCATTATGTTTCATAATGTTTCATCCGTTTCTTTACAAATTATGAATATAAAATGTTGTTTAGAAAAACGGTTATACGTTGACAATTATTAACTAATGATCAAATGTATCTTCAGAACTGATATGACATACGATTTACAAAGGTAAGACATGAATTATTTTAATGATAAAAAATTTCTCTGTAGAAGAATGGACTGAAATTAACCAAAAAAATTACATAAATAAAAACGGAAGAAACCAGTGAAAACAAAGAAAGTAGCGAATTTTGAAGTATCATTTTGATAAACTGTTTAAGGCTTTCGTGGCAAATGACACTATGCCTGCTTAACAAAGGCACAGTCATGCAGAATTGGAGTTTTAAAAATGAAGCCATTTTCATCAATTGAACTTTTAGAGTATGTTATGTATAGCTCCTTGAAGCAGTTACATAACTTAAAGGCATATTATACCTCAGAGATCCATTTTTTAATTCTGTAGAAATATGCAACATTTGTTTAATAATGTTCAAATAATGGATTAAATGCATGTAATAGGTTCTAAAACTGAAAATAATAGCGCTGAGCATACAGTTATGTGTCGTAAACGTAGCAGAATATAAAGTAGTATTTTGACTTCGGATCCATTCAAAATACTTATTTACTTTAATTATACAAATTGCCAAAGGAACTAAAACTGCCAAAGACAGTTCGTGTATAAAGCAAATGAGAAAAATAAACAGTTTTTGAGAACATTTCTGAGGCATATTGGGCCTTTAAAGCTTGATTTACAGGTACTTAACAATTTAAGGCGTTCAAACACCTATGTTGTTGGTATTTATAGTACTTAATACATGATTTATCTTTCTTTAGTGGTCCTACATACGTTGACCAAGCCTTACATCACACTTGAAATATAGTGTTATTTTTTTTTAAAATACATGTTATGTATAGAATACATACAGTATGTTAGAAAGATAACGTGACAAAAATAAAAGTTTCAAGATAACTATGTATGTATTGAACGTGTTTTGAAAACTTATTATGATTCGTCTTTCAGTTTAGTATTATATTATTTCATTGCATGTTACATGAATAATGCAAAACAGATATTCACCAAGAGATATAGTGCAGATAGGTTAGGCTATCGGTGTTATTAGGGCATATTTCATTTATTTGTTTACGTATTCAGGTTCAGTATTATATTAGTGCAGTTTCATTACTGAATTTATTGAACATGTTTAGCTTCGCATAATATACTTACAAAATGTATTTGATAAATTAAGTATGGAACCAAATCAGCTATATATATCACTATAAACAAAACAAAAATATAATTGCACAAGTTTATTAGTTAATATTTTTATACAGTATATTATAAATACAAAATAAGGAAATGACAAATTTAGTATGTATGACAATAAAGATTATCATATAATAATATCTTAAACTTTCAGATAAATACAATTTGCCAAAATTAAAAGTTAGAATAATTCTTAGGCGATCTTTTGTCTTTATTATAAATGGGTTGTTGGGTAGATCTACTAGTATATATATTTATTACAATCGGTAATGTTCTTTCACAAGACAACTTGGAGCACACTGTTTTCCCCGCCTAAACTGTTTACTAACAGAACTGTAATTGTCTCTCATTGTCCAACGAGATTCTATAAAACTGTCTGCAGACGATCCCGCATCTGCAGACATCATGATCACCATGGATTGTTCAGATCTATTTTTAGTTCAATTTGTTTTTTGTGTGTTCTTTTGGTCCCTGTCAGGAGTGTCTTTCCCCTTCAATTTATTGGCAACAGCATTGATCCAAGCAGCCAATGAAGAGCTTTTCTGTCTCGAGCAGCATGTGACGATGATATACGTGACGTCAGTTTTACTAATGATGACGTAATTTGCTCCGTTGAATGCCACGAGCTGTCCACTTGATTGTGATTTCACGCAATACGTCACGTTGGAGTATTCTATCTTTTCTGTGCCTGGTGTATGGAATGCACGCTTTATACCCTGTAAGACAAAGAAAGACCTCTTATCAAATGTTATTTATATTTATAATATTGCACGTTTGTAACGTCATTTTTCATTGGATAATTGTGACTATTACATGGCAACAGTTAATTTATGAAGTTATTTGTTTCTCTAATAAAAGAAATTTGAATTATTATAAATTCGCTTTAAAGCTTTTGACATGTTATATGACCGTATATAAACGGCCTTACGACTCGGGTTATATATACAAACCACCCTTTATATAGGGCCATATATAACTTGCTAAAAACTAATGATATATAGATGAATATTAATTGCAATTATTTGAGTAAGTTTATGTCATTTTTGTGTGTTTAGATCTAGTTTAAGAAACAAAATATCAATAACGCATCGAAGCACAAATCAAACAGTGATCAAAGAGGAAACAATAGCGTATCCTTATTTTAAACTAAATTGTGGAAATGATAAGTTATTTATATGCATTTTTAGCATCTGCAATTTGACTAACTTAGTATTAATTGTTCTTTTCATCAATGAACACTTTAGTCAAAATAAAAGAAATTTTATTTGTTTGTTCAGTTGTCGTTGTTTTTGTGGTTGCTATTGTTGATATCTATTTGTTTTGATTTTCATATAATGAACAATATTGAAGTTTAAAATAAAATATCGATAACAAATTTTATGTATCGAGAAAAAAACTTTAACGAATCAATAAGATATCTAAACAATAAAACAAAAACTGAGAAAGGCAATGAAAATGAACTTTTTACTCTAAAATTTAAGACAAAAAGATTTACCAATAGATCTTTGTTATTTATTTTGAACTTGTTAGTCTTCGCGGCAACATTTCCGTTGTCGTAAACAATAGCAGCCGACTTGATCGCCATCTTGGATTGGTCTTTTACGATAATGTCCAAATATTTCCGCAAAGTCGATTCCTGCATCGCTGAACCGCTACTTCCGTAGATACTCAACATTATTTTTTAAATGATGTAACAATCTGTAAATAAATAAATCGTGGTTAAATTGTTGAATAGATAACATTATGAAAATAGTTATCTATTTTACATGTTTTATGTGATTTAAAATTTTACTTACAAGTATTCATTTCTATTTTTAGATTTAAATCTACATTTATCGAGCTTGTAAAGTATCTGAATAAAATTTCAATTGACAATAATCATAAATCTACAAATTTACAAATTATAAATATAAATAACATAAATCTAAATAAGATATACGATAAAAACGTTGATATAAAATTAAACATACAGTTTAGATATCTTTAAACGCTCTTAAAATAGTACAGCAAATCTTTTTGCTGATAAAATCCCTTTCCGCTTAATATCAAACAGTGTTAAAAACTTTTGTTTCTCTTTTTCTTGTCTCTATTCTGAATGAAAGAAGGAAAATAACCAAATTCGCCACTGTGAAACTATATATACTTTACTGTAAAAACCACGTGACAGTCATTATTATTTATGGCGGGAGATGACGAACCTACATTTTTCCATTCATAAAATATTAGGAAAGCACGAGAAGATCGCGTGGTATTGCATAAGAGAAGAGATGTACCTGCATAAAGGATGAGATGTACCCACAAGTAAAACAAATCAACAAACGATAGGCAATGTTTATCGTTACAATGTAGGTTAACGCTGTTTATTGTTTCATCAAACGATAATAAACATTTGAAATGTGACATTGTTACGTCCTTAATTAAACCCTAACACCTACTTACATTGAAAAGTTTAAATATGAAAACTTAAGAAGATGGACACTTCATGAAGCATTGTTTTTAAATAAATCAATTAAACAAAACACACCCCATTCCGAAAAGAAAACTATCCCACCACCTCAACAGCAAAAAAAAAAAAATAAATAAAAAAAAAAATACGAGTTCTTATGAGTAAACAACAAAACATCGAATTTGGAAAAATATCAACCGATAGTTCTAGTCGTAGCTTAAACATCAAAATCAAAATACATTATCCGGGCGTGCAACAAAACAACATAAGTCAAAACAACAAACAGACCGACCGACGGTACAAAAAAATCTTCAAATCTTTGAAATTCGTAACAAGAAATACTTATAGTTTGAAATCAAGGATAAAAGTTTTAACAGTAACACCGTTATGTTTTTATGTTTCTACTCTTAAACGATTAAACCTTTTACATCTTTACATACTCTTGGAAGTTGGATTCTTTCTAAATTTTATTTTTCTTTCGACAGCTTTTGTAAGCATCACTATTGTGTATTAGAATCTAAATTTCAAGTTCGTCATTTATGTCAAACGAAACTGAATCATCGATGAAAATATTGATTTCTTAAAAATAATTACTCGTATCTCGTGACGTCACATATCACGCGCTTGGACAGAATGTCTCGAGACGCACGCGCAGTATTCATCCCACCGCGTGACATTTTTCCAAAAATATTGGACCACTTAAAAGTCCAACGTACAGTAGTTATATCTAGCGATATTTTAATCTCTCGTAATCTTGTAATATCAAAGTTGTTATCACTACATTACAGACTATTAAAGTCAAGGGTAGTTACAATTTGTAAATATAAACAGTGTCGGAATTTTCCATCAACATTGTTATATATATGTTCGTAACATCTCGTGTCAGTTAACGATTATTGTTTGCAATACAAAGTAGTGACATCATGTGAACAACACTCGTGTATGATCAGTATATGTTGACAATGAAAGCGTTTGCTAACTTTAACTTCCTTGATTTACGAAGTTTGTATACTTAATCGTTTTTAAAAGACAAATACAATTTTCTACTTAAGTTAAGACTGCTGCAGAGTCAAAAATAACATTCCTATCATATGTTTTTCTGTCTCTAAAATTCTTTAGAAAGGTCAGATATGTGTTAAATTATATTAGAGTATCTTAGATGTAATATTGAAATATGAATACCCCCTCTTTGTTAACAGATATAGAACTCTTTCTTACACATATAACACATGACATTATAACTTTATAATAGAAATAAAGATTTAAACACTTAAAATCATAACATTGATAAGTTTTACTGGGTATATGACACTTAGGGTATGTACAGATAGCTGCTTTAAAACAGGCAGAATTTGTCAGATCGTGAACACAAATGACATTTCGTATTTTCATATTAATGAGTAACGGATATGATGCAATAAATGCATGTATACAAACTATTTATTTCAGGGACAATATACCTTTTACAAATGTTTGATGACATACATGTTGACTCTCTATTTCTATTATGAAATGCAAACTTAATTAGCTCTATGAAACACTTATGTGTTGCAAGTACAAACTTACTTACTATAGGTTAATATAATACCATATTAACCTAATGCAGTAAAAAAACTAAACACGTGCAATAATGTACTCGGTGAAACAGTTTAAAAAGGGTGATACTGATATTATAAATATTACAAAGTATAAAGGCCCATAAAACGAACTTTATTTATCTCAAATACAGTGGTAAAATAAACGTGCTAAATAATATACACATGCATTATGAACAAAATTTAATTGTACTTTGTGACTTCATATTTCATCATAAGCATTTATAACCTTAACAATTGATATTTTGTCATTGTTTTATTGCCATCTTTTAAGACAAAAAAGTTATAACTACAAAATATTGATGACGATAAGATTTATCGTTCTTCACGAATTTCGAAGTGTCAGAATGAAAACTTCAAATTTCAGCAATTCTTAACAAAAAAAGATCATAAAATTGAAAAAAATATGACGTGGAATGATCTAAGGAAGTGCTTATAATGCATTTCCGATCGTTTTCATGTTTTTAATATTCTTCGTTTTCTTTAGGCTGCGTGGCTACCAATTTCAGACTGCTAGGCTGCCAACTTCAGGCTGTTATACTGCCAATTTCATAAAAAAGATGCCTTTGGCACAACTGCTGAACTCCTGCTCTGTTACGATTTGAAAAGAAGAAGTTTCCAGATACAAATTACAGCTGCAGTTATATATCAGGCATTCCGCTTAACATGCGCCATATTGGTATTTTTTTTTGTTTTTTTTCGAGGGAAGAGAGCATTTTTGAATTAACTGTTTAGAATTGGAAATAATTCATTCATCATGAATTTAAATAATAATTATTTTTCGTCATGGCGTTACATTATATACTCTGATATATATCAACGACATTGTCGATAATCTAGGTTCAGACGTTCATTTATTTGCTTCCATATCATCGTAGACTATCCTGAATCAGCTGCCAAAATTTTGCAATTTCAGTTTCGGCTTCTCGTTCGCTAGTAACCTTTAATCCATCAAAATCTGAAACTATGGTCATTTCTCGAAAGTCTCAAAAACCGTTACATCCTCAACTTTTTATGAATGGCACTCCAATATCGTCAGTAGCCTATCATAAACACCTTGGTGTTACCTTTTCAAACGACGGATTGTGGCATATACATATCAATTCTATTAAAGAACGAACATTGAAAAGAATCCACATAATGAGATCACTTAAATTTCAGCTAGATCGAAAACCCCTTGAAACCCTATACCTTACATTCGTTAGACCTTTATTAGAGTATGTCAGACGTATTATATTTGATCAATTGTTCCCAATATGATGAAAAGAACAGAATTGACAAAATCCAAAAACGAAAGCAGCTCGAATCGTTTAAGGGGCTACAAATACTGTGTTCTCTCCTGATGAACTTCAAAAGGAAGTACCCTGGGAAACTCTCCATACTCGAAGAAAAAAATCACAAGTTTTAATTACTTTTTTACAAGCTATGACTTACGATCTTACACCAAATAGTATCTTTCCTCTCCAGTCCTACCATACCGTGAGGCAATACTTCAAGATATAGCTTAACGTAATGTCGAGGGCTGCAAACCGTACGCCAACAGAACAAACGCTTTATTGAAAATTCCTTCTTGCTGTCCGTAATACGGGACTGAAGTGAACTTTCTCCGAAATCAAATCTCATCACTAATTATCTTTCAAATACAACTTATTGAAATAATATAGAAATGTCTCGCAAAATTATCTTTAACATTGGGAAATGAAACTGCAAGTTCTACACACAGGGGACGACGGACACGGCCATACTGTTAGTGCCGTCTGGATAATATCTTCTTTTCTCTGCTATCTCAACTTCTTCTTCTCCTCTCTTTTTTCAGATAGTTGATTATTTTTACAAAATATATTTTTCAAAACCTTCTTCTAACCAACTACCATAACTCGTATGTTTTGTATATAACTTAATTGTATTTTTCAAGCATGATTCATGTACATACATCATCACACACTGCCAATATATAGCGATAAGCCCTATATAAGCAATCAGCTTTCGGTTCTGATCCTTCTTCAGCTCATTTTCTATATGTTGTAAAGTCTAATGCACTTTTTTTGGTAATAAAAATTTGTAAATGAGAAATTATAGACTGTGACGTCATATGATAACGTCATAGTCTGACGTCGTTACCAGCAACGGATAACAGAAGACACGAAAATGAGCTGTTTGTTTGTTTCATTTTACGCCTTTTTCCAACAGTATTTCAGTCATATAGGCGGGTAGTTTCCTAACCATCGTTCCTGGAGAGTTAACACCAGTACTAGACTACCTTTCCTCCGCGCTAAACTACAAAGCATCTCCCCGGGGATCGAACCCACGCCAAGAGAGGTAACTGGATTAGAAGTCAATCGACTCTAACCCCTCGACCACGGAGGCGGCTACGAAAATGAGCTACAATTTGGGAACAAAAGAAATTAGAGTGACACAACTCAGTAGTGCAGGGTTAGACAGAAAAAGACATCAAAAATGAGCTACATTTGGGAACAAAGAAATAAGAGTGGACACAACTTCAGTATGTGCCGGGTTAGACAGAAGAGGAAGACACAAAAACCGAGCTATCATTTGGAACAAAGAAACAGAGTGCACGATTTTCCAGTATGTGCCAGGGGTATGGCCTGTTGTGCTGACGTCAATTCATGATCAGGGTAGGTGTAATTGCTATTTTTATAATTAAAAGCGCTGATTTTTTTTTTTTTTTTTTTTTTTTTTTTTTTTTTTCTTTTTTTTTAATAATAATAATGTTTACAAATATTTTTATCGTTATCATAGAAATCTGGTATTGTTATTACCAGTTATAATCATAATATCAGTCTGCAAATTTGAAATATACTGGTTAAGTTGCTACAAATTAGAGCCTCCTTTTAAATGTAAAATGAACATATTGTGGAGGCACCACACAATATGTAACACTGTATGTGGTTACTCAGTATAGACTTTGCCCCTGTCCTGTTGTTTGTGTGTTGGTCAGCCTGGGCTCCTTTACCACTGTTCTTGTTGTGGGTCCATATGGGGTGCGTTCATTGAACCCCCTTTCCCTTGTTGATCTTGATTACAAATATTTATGGCACTTTTATTTTGAAAAGAAATTTATCAATA